CCCCCCCCCTACCCCCAGTTCAAACAAAGCATGCTGATATATAAAACTAACCCATTGATACAAAGGCGCTATTTGAACAACAAATGAGGAGAACAATGACCTCAAGGTCCTAGTTTTAAAGTGAAGGTTTGCATTCTTTCGATATTTTCAAACCTCCCAAATCTAACTTTTATTTAAGAAAAGGTAAATTCGACGGGACGTTACCGATGCCCTCATATCTAGAGTTGGAGGATTATTATATGGTGTAAATTAGTGGAAGATATTTTATTACTATGGCCTCGGGGTGTGAGATAGACTTACCTCTCCACGTGGTGCGCCCTGGGCAACGTATACTCATATGGCAAAAAAAACCTATTAACTGGCAGTTGGATTTTGACTTCAAGCTACCATGACCCCACTGTATGTCATTTTCGACCACTTTCCCAGTGCTCACCTCACCTTACCTTTTCTCTACTTTTGTGTCTGTCTGTTTGCCTGTTTCTTTTGCACCTGTGAATCACTCTTCTCTCCTTCTCACTCCCGACTTTTTGTGACTTTGATGTTCCTCCTCCTCCCCTCTTTGAAGCCCTTAAGTCAATTAAATGGGTAATGATAAATATCAAAATGCCTGCCATCTGATAGAAATGAATAAATTACTAAATCCACGATAAGTTGTATGGTGATAACGGTGGATTTTCTTATCACTCAATCCATAGACGACCTAATATGTACTTTATTTGTACTTACAACGTTTGAACTATTCAAATTATTATTTACCTCATCGGAGGATACCGCGTGTCTCTTCTGGACATGATTTATTGTTTGCAGAGGGCGTTTAGTAGTTGATCGGTTCGGTGTCGTCCTAGCATACAATCGTGCTGATGGCATCTTATTCCAGGATTCCACTTCTAATAATAATAATGCATAACGAAAGGCGCAAATTAAGATCTGAGGAAAGGAGAAACTTTTTCGTTTTATACAATCGACAGCTTACTAGAAGTATAGTCATCCTCTGGGTTACTACCTGTTCTCTCCACTGTCATCTGATTACTGGAGGTTTCTTTAAATTGAACAATTCCAGGTGAGGCAATATTTGGAGATACACTTGTGGATAGTGGAATGGGTTTCTGACTATCTTTGTCATCAACAGAACCCTTAGCACTGACTGATGCCAAAAACGGGGCTGTTTGCTTAGTTACGGCTTCTTTATCCTCTGAATAATTATGACTGGAGCTGAATGTAAATCGAAGACGCTTCAACCGATTCCATAGACCAGTTCTTCCGATGCTCCTTGCTCGTGATTTTCTGCCTTCGGGACCAACCAGGGATTGAGATCGTCTATTTTAAAGGAGGAAGGTGGAATAAATCTTATGTGACTGATATTAAAATAATTGGGTGCAGATAATGTCAATCTCTCTATGTATCTATGTCTATATTACAAAATATAGACAAGAAATGTAGGTAAGAAAATTGATGTGGAACATCGGTTAAGGTGAGCCTCCTCGAAGTTAGAAATTGCTGATTCAATACACACATTTCCTCATTCGATTATACAGACGATCCATTCCAGTAATTAAGGCAATTTTATCACTAAAAAATCCTCATTCATTCACTGCTGACTAATAATTCATTAACCTTATCCCGTTTCCCCATATGCACGCTATCTTGCATATGTTCCATTACTGCATATTCACTTAAATCAAACATCTTATATGGTTGTGCATTTCCCTATGCCATATTGCATAAATAAAACCGGAAATCGCACAGAATAACAGCTTCTCAGTAACGCCTCCGACTCTTACTACTAATAATAGTTTAAATATGACACCATGGAGTTGCTTCAAGAGTCTATTCTATTAAATTGGGGAAACAGAACTAATTTGATACTTCTAACCTCTTCCGGATTCAATACTCGTCCCGGCTATGACTGAACGCCTTCCCAACCTTGTTGTTGTAAACCTCTCCTTCATGGAATAGCTTCGAATTCGAGATAAAAAGGGGAGTTATAGTTGATACAAGGATGTGGTCTTTTAGTGAAACGCCCGATACATGCAATCGATGATCCCACATTCTGAATGGGTTTCCAGGTTATTAAATGACCAACGGGAAAAATTTCATTGCATAGCTGCTTAACTACGAGTCTCAATGCACGCAAGTTGACGCAATTTGAAAGATGGACTGACCACATATTATGTGTCGTGTTTATGGGGTGCGCAATAGACTTACCTCCACGTGGTGCACTCTAGGCAACGTATACTTATACGGCAAAAAGTCTATCAAACCGGCAGTTGACTTCTGACTTCAAAACAAGTCTATCAACCGGCAGTTGACTTCTGACTTCAAACTACAATGAGCCGACTATTGCCCCATCCACAGAACTCATCTTACCTTTTTTATGCATTTATGTCTTTCTGTCTGACTTCAAACTACTATGGCCCGAATATTAGTCATATTCGACCCCTTTCACAGTACTCATTTTACCTTTTTCATGCCTTTGTGGCTGTCTGTCACTTTTACCTCTGTGAATCATTATTCTGTCTCCTATCTCGACTTTTGCCACTTTAATGTTCCTCCTCCTCTCTGTGAAGCCCCAAAGTCAGCTCCAGGGCTAATGATAACTATCAAAACGCCTGCCATTTGATATAAATAAATACATGCCATTGATACAAGTGCGGGATTATGTTAAGGGAGTCTTTGTAGACTAGTTAAAGATCGGACAATGAATCTGATAAAATCAGCGCAATAAATACAACCAGTATGAAATATTCATTTATTAGAAAGGTTACTACCAATTTCAATATCTGGAACTTCAATAGATTTCAATGACGATTAAAAATCGATACTTCAAAGAGATATCGATCTCTCTCCACCGGACCAAAATTGAATTGAGACCTCAACTAATAAGAAACTTAGTAAATAGCGAAAATAAAACACCTCCTCTAACTGATTCAAATTGATATCATGGATATTGATTGACTTACTGACATCTGGAGATGTGCTCCTCTCCATATACTTCACCAGGTAATATCTTGGAAATAGTTCTTTTAATTCCATTCTCAGAGCAATTGTTTGAGCACACCATTTTATACATGTCTGTTTCACTGTTTTTCTTAGCAGATTTCTGAGTTCCCTCAACACCGCGTGAGATGCATTCCATTTTGAAATCCATCATGTCCATATCCATCATTTCATCCAATTCCATTAACATCTTGTGAAGTGAATCGTCTGCTCTCTTCAGTTCCTCCAAACTTGGGAGATCAGGGGTGACTTTCCTGGAATCCTGCTTCCGAGTGCTCTTTATTCCCAATAGCCGATACATTTTCTCTGTGTATTGGATCATTTTCTGTATTAGGAGACGATAACGGGGTAGGCGTTGAACTGGAGCCAGAAGATAGGTTGTGATATCATTAAACTCGCATGTAGGGTGGGATTGAAGTTGTCTTAGTTGCTTCCGCAAACTAGCAGGTCCTGTTTTCATCTTGCTAAGCGTTTGTATAGAACCGGAGAACTCAGAGAGGTAGCGAGTATAAAGTTTGAATAGACTCGAAGTTGACCAAACGGGAGCTCCACAGTAAGATGAATTATGATTCGTCCCTAACGGCCTACGACCTTCAATCATTTCTAGGAGAACAGAGAATGGAGAAGAGGAATCTTGGGAGACTTCATTACAATTTGAAGATGATTTGATTTCATTTTCACCGGTTGATTTACTGCTAAGGTGTCGCCTGTGGGGTCGATGAGGTTGGTGGGTGGAGGCATTGGGTCTGTATCGATGGGGCCTGAACGTGGTCTCTTCTCTACTACTGCCTGCTGATAGGGCTTCCGGCTGTCGTATATTTTGTGGCATTTGATCATAGGCGTGTTTCATGGCTTCGCAGGAATCGCGGTGGAGTTTGCAAAGCTCATCCACAGTAGCTGGAAATAATCGCCTAGAGGGAGGAATAAAACAATAAGGATTGAAGACAAATATGCAGAGGATTTATATTTCATGATGTAGAAGTCAAAGAATGAAAACCTTAATCTGGAGAGAATTCAAGACCTCAAGGTGCAACGAACTAAAAGC